GCAATCATTGAATACTTGGTTCATCAAGGACTGAACACTGAGGTACCCCCCCCCCCTGATGAGACACTGCTTAACCGATACATACTTCACCTGGAATGGAACTTTCTACAAACAAACTGAGGGCACCCCAATGGGCCCCCCCTATCTCTGGTTGTAGCCAACTTTTCATGGAGAAATTTGAGACTGACGCCATCCAGACTGCCACTCTACGCCCAACCTTATGGAAGAGGTACGTGGATGACACTTTTGTCATCTGGCCACATGGCCGGCCTGCTCTCGACCAATTCCTTGACCACATCAATTCCATACACCCAGCCGTCAGATTTACCATGGAAGTCGAAAAAGATGGCAAGCTACCTTTTTTGGATGTCCTAATAAAAAAAGAGACCTGATGGTTCAATGAGCCACTCTGTCTACAGGAAAGCTACCCATACGGATGCTTACCTAAAACCGGATTCCCACCACCATCCATCCCAGAAGAATTCCCTCATCAAGACTCTACACCATAGAGCTCAATGCATCTCTGACCAGGAACACATTGCCAGTGAACTCAAGCACGTACACCAAGCTTTTAAGGCTAATGGTTACTCTGACTCTATAATCCGGACATACAGTACCCTGGCGTCTACAAACTAAGTTGTCTCTGTGGTAGCAGTTACATTGGAGAAACCAAACAACATGCCTCGGACCGCATCCGTGAACACAAAGCAGACCTAAAACACGGTAGGACCAACACCTCGGCCGTGGCAGACCACGATTATAATTCAGTGGGCTCACATGACATTGACTTCTCCAAGCCATCTGGCTACCATGAGAGATTCGTTCATGAGGTTATTCACATATACAAACACAGAGACAATTTCAACCGAGAAGATGAATTCTGGCTTAGCAATCATCATTGAAAGGATTTGATCAACCATTTCGGGTCTTAATTGATTGTGTTCACGCTAACGGTGACTTTCAGACCGAATTCCATTCTCTTCCGCTCCCCCCTCCTCCGTTCCGAGCATAGATGGACTCGTCCACCGCCAGTTGCTGTCCGTGGTGCTAACGTTAAACAACCGCCACTTTTTTCAAATTTTCTTGCCGTGGTTTTCACACCTGATGATGATTGCTTGTGCTGCAATCGAAACATCGTGATAATTTTATTGTTTTATTTTTTATTATTTTATTGTTTTCCCTTCTACGTGACTTTACCGAAAGAACCAAGAATATGAATCCCTGCAGTCACGAAAGCTTTAAATCGAAATTTAACCGCAGGGGTTGTTCGAGTTTAACCGGCTCCTGATGGGGCTGCAATCCGCGCCGGCCACTTTCAGAGGTTGATGGAATTGGTATTGGCAGGTCTCCAGTGGGATTCGTGCCTCATCTACTTGGATGACGTCATCATTTTCGGCCGCACATTCGATGAGCATTTGGATCGCATGCGGGCTGTTTTCGTTAAGATGCGTGCGGTCGCCTTGAAATTCAAGCCCCAAAAATGTCATCTGCTCCAAAAATCTGTTCGATACTTGGGCCATAAAGTCAGTGAATTGGGAATCACGACGGACCCCAAGAAAAGTGCTTGCGTTCGGACATGGCCAACCCCCACCTCGGCTAGCGAGGTGCGCAGTTTCATCGGCTTTGCCTCTTATTATCGCCGATTTGTCGCGGGGCTCGCGTCTATAGCTAAACCTCTCCACGTCCTGACAGCAAAGGGCCAAAAATTTAATTGGGGGGAGGAGGAGGCTGCGTTCCGCTCTATTCGTGATGAGACTTTTCGTTGCCGTTCATTTTGGACATGGACGCCAGTAATACCAGCATTGGTGCGGTGTTATCCCAAGTCGTAAATGGCGTGGAGCACGTGGTTACGTATGGCAGCAAGATGCTGTCTCCGGCTGAGCAGCGGTACTGCGTAACGCGCCGGGAACTGTTGGCCATTGTGGTTTTTGTGCAACAATATCGGCCATACTTGTACGGGCGACACTTCGAGGTGCGCTCCGATCACGCGGCGCTCCAATATGCGCTGCGTGTGGACCAGCCCTCCGGTCGATTGTCACGCTGGCTCGAAATCCTGCAGGATTTTTCATTCAATGTTAAATATCGTAACGGTTCTCGCCATACTAACGCCGATGCCCTATTGCGATTGCCAGCACCCGGAGAGTGCGCTTGTTTTTCTGGTTCGGGTCGTTGTCGACCGACCAGCTCGACCTCCCCCTCCCCTCTCGTTGCGTCTGCCACGGACGTGATGGGGGGGACGGGCAACGTCCTTGTTGCACGGGATGCAACTTTGGAGCTGGACCTTAAGTTGCACCAGCATGTCAGGGAGACCGCCGATGGTACGGCTCCGCGGGGTGTTAACTCATTTGTGCTGAGGGGAGGGTTGCTCGTACTGAGACGGAGGATTGCGCCGTTATGCTATTGTTGTCCCTACCGCCCTGCGTGCATAAACGGCTGTTGCACCTCGGAGTGCAGAAGACGCTGGCTGCTCTTAAATTGTATTTTTATTGGCCAGCCATGGCCTCCGACGTTGAGGATCTACTGAAAGGCTGCGTGTAATGTGCCTGGCGGAAGCCGCTGGCGAGATCCTATTGTCCTCCGCTGCAATCCATCCAGGTGTCACGGGTAAATGAAATTGTTGCCCTCGATATTCTCGGGTCGTTTCCCGCTTCTGCGCGTGGAAACAAATACTTACTCGTGAGCGTTGAGTATTTCTCATGCTGGCTTATGGCTTGGTCGCAGCCCAAATCAATTGGCTGTGGCTATTACCGAGGCGTTCCTTAACGGCTATGTTCTGGATAAAGGTGCCCCTGAGCGCCTCTTGACGGATCAGGGCAAAAAAATTCCTCCAAGCTGCTGTGTGAGGTTTGCGATCTGCTGGGAACGAAAAAGGTATGCACGTTGCCGTACCACCCGCAAATGGATGGCATGGTCGATCGCCTACACTGGACTCTGACCTCCATGTTCAGTCACTTGGTCAGCGAGTCACAGGTCGATTGAGATTTGCATATTCCTGCGGTTCTTGCCGCTTATAGGATGACCCCTCACACGTCCACTGGCTACTCTCCCTTCTTTTTGATGTATGGGAGAGAGGATGATCCTCCCATCGATGTCCAATTATAGGCCGCGCCTGCCCCGAAGGTGTCCAAAATTTCTGACTCGATTCGGTTCACGATCGGAAAACTTTCCGAGGCGCGGGAAGCCGCCAGTGTTAACTCTCGGGCCAGGCAGCTGGCTCAGTCCTTTGTTATGTAGACTAGCCGTAGTGTCAAGCCGCACCTTACCATAATAAAGGCTCAGTCCTTTGTTATGGAGACTAGCCATAGTCTCAAGCCACACCTTACCATAATAATAAAAGTGGGCCGGTCCTGGCCCATCCCCCTCCCTTAAACCAGTATATATACGGGGTAGTATCCCTTGGAATCTCTCATTTACTTGATTACAGCAAGCGCGCTGTGACGGTTCCACCTGAAGACGGAAGCCTGTTGCCTCCGAAACGTCGTGATTTTAATATTATTTTAATTTTACTTTTATTATCTTCTTGGTTCTTTCGGTAAAGTTACGCGACTTTACCGAAAGAACCAAGAAGATGAATCCCTGCAGTCACGAAAGCTTTAAATCGAAATTTACTTTTATTTAGATTTTTACCTACGTGACTTTACCGAAAAAACCTAAGAATAGAAGAACCTTTATAATACTGTTATAATGTTAGGACCTTTATAATGCTGTGAATTTTTTATGATGAATGCGGGGCCTAGTTGTCAATAAAGCCTGCAGCTTGCCTTGTTGTGACTGTTACCCTTAATCGAGTAAGTGGATTCAAACTTGCAATAATAAAATGTCTCATTCATAAGACAATGTTATGATGCTGTGGTGTTTATTCATTGTTGGTGTTTCTGTGTATTAACAGATGCTGTATCCGTGCTGTTTTCTTACCAGTTTTACCTCTCGTTCAATTTCAATAAATGACGTTCGGAGTCAGATGTTCACCCTGGCTCTGAGGGTTTATAGGAGACGCGAGGTTATCTACTCAGCTAGCTCTGCAACGCAGCGCACAGCGAGGCTGAGATAGTCTGCGACTCAGTTGGACTCACTACACATACACAGACACACATACAGACAACTCCCATTTGCCAAAAAGTGGTGGTGGCGTCACCACGGCGCTTTTGCCAGGCTATGTAAACTTTAAGGACACGTGGAGTGTTAAACGCCCGCTGGGAGGTCACGGGATAGATACAGGTACCATGGGTTAACTGAGATGACTGGCAGATGCACCATCTGTGTCCCCTACTGTGCCAACTTGCTGGATTTTAGCCGCCTGGCGATCCGCTCATTGTTGCGAGCATCGCTCCTTTGCCCTCCATTGTTGTTGGACAGCGATTGCCTCCAACTCTTCTCCAGTCTGTGTTCTGCCCGTTTAGCCCGCTCTGTTTGGTCAAACAGAATCTGTTTGTGCATGCGGTGGCTGGGCATGCGGGCTACATGACCAATCCAATGCAGCCTTGCCTGCTGGAGCAGTATCGAAACCTTACAAATCAGTCTTGCAACGGGAGACTCTTGAGTGGTAGTCAAAATCAGCCGTAAGTTTTAGCTTCGCAGAGGCAAAGGCTCCGAGTCACTAAGAGTTGAAGTCTTGCAAAGGCAAGTTCCAGGTTAGCACTCGTGACCAGCTAAGAGTTTTATTTCCTGCTAAGGCAGACTCTAAGTGTCCCTGGAAGCAGCCACGTTTTATTTTATATATTCCTTTACATTGAGTCTCTCACAGAGTCAATGACTTCGCAAAGTTGTGTTGTGATAAGTTACATGATTGAGGAAAATGGTTGATAAGCGTCTTGGCCAAGGTGGAGAGTTTGGAATCTGATTGATTGCTTCTGTGAACAGGTGTCTTTTATCAGGTAACAAGCTGAGATTAGGAGTACTCCCTTTAAGAGTGTGCTCCTAATCTCAGCTCGTTACCTGTATAAAAGACACCTGGGAGCCAGAAATCTTTCTGATTGAGAGGGGGTCAAATACTTATTTCCCTCATTAAAATGCCAATCAATTTATAACATTTTTGACATGCGTTTTTCTGGATTTTGTTGTTGTTATTCTGTCTCTCACTGTTCAAATAAACCTATCATTACAATTATAGACTGATCATTTCTTTGCCAGTGGGCAAACGTACAAAATCAGTAGGGGATCAAATACTTTTTTTCCCTCACTGTATGTATGAGCGCAAATCCACCACTGGATGAGGTCCTCCCCACACACCATACAAACCACTACCAGCACTGTCACCAACTCCAGAAGCTTAGCTTTGCTCACAAAACCCACCATTACAAACGAGTCTTAAAAAGTAGTTTAATAGAGTGATATTATACAGAGGGGAAATAGCAGTTAATCCACTGCCTTTATTGAAGGCCTCCCCATGCCATGTCTGGGTATATTTGAACATATTTCTTCACAAGAAGAGCTTGAACAGGTTGGCGAAAGAGGAGACCCCAGCACTGGTTAAGATATAATTCTCCACTCATTAGCTGTGGCCAGGAATCAAACTCGTGAAGCTGGGTTCATAGCGCAGTGTGGTAACAAATGTGCCCCTGCCGTACCCCAAAAAAAAAATTGAGCCAATCAATAAACCCAATTCTGTACATTTTCTAAACAAATAACGTCAACAATACAAACTATGTCACTGTCACCCTCTTGAGGGTTTCACACCACTCACCGATGGCAATCTATCGTAATTGCATGATGTTATCTTTCTCGCCTGGTATACAGGTTATCGGTTCAATCCCTACCCTGACACGTGTATATTTGGAGTTTGCATGTTTTCCCTGTAGCCGCATGAATTTTTTCTCAGGGTCCTCTGGTTTTTCCCTCTACATTTAGAAACATGCGTTAAGATTATGTAGCTGCTATAAATTTCGACAAGGCACTTTCGTTGGGCTCTCATTTGTGGCCTGCTCATGTCTGAAAAATAACTAATAGCTCAGTGGGCTTTATCTGGTAAAATAAAAATGGGTTTAGTTTATTTCTGGTGATTTGCTTACCTTTCCTATACTTTGCACTCATATAGGTGTTTTTGTAACTTTCTGACCCGCCCAGGATTTCTCCAGGATAAATATTCTGATTGCTATGGCTCCAACAGCCTACCTGTCTGTAGTGACAGGGCTGTCGGGAAAGAATGGGCAAGGCCAGTTGTTTGTTAGGTTATTTAGGATGCTACTTGACTCTGCATTGTCATTTTTCATTTCCTGATGTGACAAGCTGTTTTGCAATGGGATAAGTTGACTCCACATATTTCACACACTTGCATGAATAACTATTTTTCATGTCATATTTCCAGCAAATGCATGTTGACTTAATTTCTTAAAATTTCCGTTATTCACTGCATAGCTTGCATGGATGATTTAAGTAAATCAAAAAGAGCATGTTTGCATAATGGTAACATTTTACCACAAAAAACGTATTATCACTGCCATTTGTATTAATACTACTTAACTAAAATAGCAATTAAATCTTAATTGTATGTGCTCCCTGCTCCTGGGTCCCTCTTGAGTGATAGACAGGAAAGGGTGCCAGACACGTTGGTTTCCCTTTGTGTTAGTTTTGGCGAAGAGGACGTGAGCGAAAAAGATGATGATGGGGTCAGGAATAAAATTTGAGTACATGGGTTTGTAGCGGGACGGCACGTCACTGTGGAGTGTTCTCCACGGAATTTCCTGTTGTGCTGACCATGAATGAGTTTGCCCCTTGCCTCTCCATGACCTTGAAGAAGTTGCGGCCACGTTGAGGCACCATGGTGAGTAATCCAGGCAGGGGAGCAGCTGCCAAGCCTGTGATGAAAGAGCCACATGTCAGATTCATCAACTAAAACTGCTATTTCACTATTAGCATTGCTTCATGTCTCACTGAACATTTCCTGAATTGCTGGGAGAATGGAGTAGGTGGAACAGACGAGCAGTCACCACCATGGCGATGTGTAACAGGTGCGGAAATATATGTTGGGTTGCTAACTATTAGATTTCTGGAGGAAATTGTCATTCAAGCAAATTGTCTCAAACATAAAAAGGTACATATTATATTGTCTGGAAAAGGCTCAATGAGTATCATGAGTCTTTTTAGAGATAGTCCTGTATGGGAATGTTTCTTAAGTTCTAATTAAATACAATGTTTTGCTACAGGAGGCAAACTGAACATACCTGAAAAACCATTCAGGTGATAACTAAAAGATCCACATAGGCTGCGCTCACAACCTGTTTGCTGTACTGCTACCTACTGGACATCTCGCAGGTCATCAAGTTATGCAGTTTCACACGCAACAATATATATGTTTCAGCATGTAATATTTTTTTCTAAAGACATCTGTTATTAAGACTGTTCTGTTCTGTTAGGAGGCAGTGTTAAAGATGAGTGTGGCCAGATTATTTGAATTGTGCTTGGGAACCATTGCCTATGCAGATGTGTTTGCTGTAATTGTTAAGGTCCTGATAATTGGTTTTTTACCCTTCTATCTGGCAACAAAACTGACACCTTTTTTTACAAGGAGTCATGTTTACATAGACCACAATACCTGCAGTCATAATGCAAACAAAAAACATAACTCTGATAATGTGCACTGTCCTTGAAGTTGATTGGTCCACACCCGAGACAGCTTTCCTTAGAGCCTAGTCTCACATGGGTTGGACCAGATGACGCCAAAAGGCGCACAACTCAAAGACAATGCACCATCAGAGTATGAGAGCTCGAGGTAAGCATTTACACCATTGGAACCTCATTTGCCAGTAAAAATACGATAATTGGTTGTTTACCCTTCTATCTGGCAACAAAACTGACACCTTTTTTACAAGGAGTCATGTTTACATAGACCACAATACCTGCAGTCATAATGCAAACAAAAAACATAACTCTGATAATGTGCACTGTCCTTGAAGTTGATTGGTCCACACCCGAGACAGCTTTCCTTAGAGCCTAGTCTCACATGGGTTGGACCAGATGACGCCAAAAGGCGCACAACTCAAAGACAATGCACCATCAGAGTATGAGAGCTCGGGGTAAGCATTTACACCATTGGAACCTCAGTTGCCAGTAAAAATATGATAATTTTGTTGCCAGATAGAAGGGTAAAAAAAACAATTATCATATTTTTACTGGCAAATGAGGTTCCAATGGTGTAAATGCTTACCCCGAGCTCTCATACTCTGATGGTGCATTGTCTTTGAGTTGTGCGCCTTTTGGCGTCATCTGGTCCAACCCATGTGAGACTAGGCTCTAAGGAAAGCTGTCTCGGGTGTGGACCAATCAACTTCAAGGACAGTGCACATTATCAGAGTTATGTTTTTTGTTTGCATTATGACTGCAGGTATTGTGGTCTATGTAAACATGACTCCTTGTAAAAAAGGTGTCAGTTTTGTTGCCAGATAGAAGGGTAAACAACCAATTATCGTATTTTTACTGGCAAATGAGGTTCCAATGGTGTAAATGCTTACCTCGAGCTCTCATACTCTGATGGTGCATTGTCTTTGAGTTGTGCGCCTTTTGGCGTCATCTGGTCCAACCCATGTGAGATAAGGCTCTAAGGAAAGTTGTCTCGGGTGTGGACCAATCAACTTCAAGGACAGTGCACATTATCAGAGTTATGTTTTTTGTTTGCATTATGACTGCAGGTATTGTGGTCTATGTAAATATGACTCCTTGTAAAAAAGGTGTCAGTTTTGTTGCCAGATAGAAGGGTAAAAAAACAATTATCATATTTTTACTGGCAAATGAGGTTCCAATGGTGTTAAGGTCCTGTTGGCCGAGTGCTACGTAATACCGAGAGGGGCCAGAGACTTGACAGCCTCGAGTACGTTCTTGCTCTCCAGTTTGACCTTCATGCGGAAGTGCTCAGTGTGCCCCTCCATCTGCGGCACCACCTTGTATCCACGGAAGCGCGTGTCCATCTGCAGAAGTCAACACATTATTTGGCGATGCTGCACTGGCAGTGGTGCACAAGCACAATTAACAACATAAACACATTGATCAAAAATAGTGTGGCCTTAAACGAAAAGATATATAATAGGTGCCGTTTCAGGCAATGGCCCTGCTATGCTATGAAGAAGCATCACTGCCCGAAACGTTGCCTATTTTGTAACCTGCCTTTTAAGGCAGTGTTATTCACAAATTATTGCATTTTTTTGTTAAATATACATCTAAAGAAGGGTTATTCAGTGGCCAAGGTAATGTCCTGTTTCTGCTAAATACACTGCAGTGCTTGCACAACTTCTGAAAAGGCTGCCTTTAAAGGTGTAATACTGTTCCAGGAGACTTGGACGCCGGGGTTGGAGGCACACGTATTTATTCCGTGTCGGATACAGCACAACACCGGACGTACAACACTGGAGGGGGTATCGCCCCCTCACCCGTCTATCTGGGAATACACACTCTAGCTACGCCTAGCCTACCTCTTGGTCCTCCACTAACGGGCTAGGGGAGGCTAACTAGCCCGACCCTGGCAAGTCGGGCTTACGGCACCCGGAGTCCCAGACCAGCTCTTACAAGAGCACCGGCCCTGGCTCTCGGGGCCACGCCACTGGCTCGATCCTGTCCGGTCCTGACAAGGGCGGTGATCCAGGGGAGTCCAGGGCTCTATCTAGGCGATCTTCTGTCTTCACTGGTTAGCTTCAACATCTCTCCTCGAGCCCTCCGGCTCATCCCCTTATATACCGAAACCCAGGCTGCCCGGTGCGGACGTCGCTGGGAGCACCTCCCCGTGCACCGACATAGCCACGCCCACTGTGTTTCTTTCCCGTGTGATCCCATGTATAACAGCCCCTCCGTAAAACCCCTACATGACCCCCCCCTGTACAGCTCGCAGCCGTCCCGGCTGCAACAAAACGGCAATAAAGGTGTATTTTCCCCTTGAACCCGCGTGTGCCTCACAATGTTTTTTAACAACAATAACAACAAGAACAGTAACAACATGAAGAGAAAAACAACCCGACGCACCCCCCTCCGAATAAATACGAATTCCGTAAAAGCACCATATATACAATTTGCAGAAAACACACCACACACACAACACACAGTGAACACAACATATATACAATCCTCCGGGCATCACAAAAGTCTGCGCATTTTCGCGCGCGTTCTTGCAGCAGGCCCGTCACACGGGGCAACCCCGGTTGGCGCACTGTTGGGCGGCAACCGTCCGTGTCCGAGTGAGTGACTTCCTGTTGTCGAGTGACCCCGGCATCCCCAGGAGGGGTTGGCGGGCGTGAGCCCGTCACTCCCGGTGCACCTGGGGGCGGGACAGCCGGCAGCACGTTAGGTGAGAGCAGCGGAGGCGGACCCTGGGAGTCGGCGGACCCCCCACATGTTTGGCCACGCGTGTGTGAAGTGGGAACTCGGACCGCAACGAACGGTTTCAATCTGGAGGGGTGCACAAACCACCGCCGCTTCCCCCATTTGATACGTACACACTGAGGCCGCAAAACCTGAACCACCTCCACAGGACCCCGCCACGGCCGCACCAGTTTAGAGGAGGTTGCAAGTGGTACTTGGGGACAGTGCAACCATGCCCTGTCACCTGGTTTCCACTGCAGAACGTGCGCCCGACCCAGCCTGAGCCTCTCGTTAGCCTTCTGGCGGAGGTCCGAATTCTGCATAGCAGCCTCCCGTGCCTCTGTTAATTTAGCAATATTGAATTTTACATGGTCGGCCAATTTAGATTTACCCCGCGGCGTGGAGATCTGCAGCTGGGTCTGAACAGGTGGGTTAGGTTCGCGGCCGTACATCAGGAAAAAGGGGGAAAATCCCGTCGCCGCATGGGGAGCCATCCTATATGCTGCCAACACCCCTTGAATTTGAAGGTCCCAATCGGTCTGTGAGTCCGAGACCTGTTGGGACAGCATTGACGTGATGGTTCGATGCAGACGCTCCACCATCCCGTCAGTTTGCGGATGATATGGGGAGGTACGAATTTTTTTCGTTCCCAGGAGCTCACAGACCTCTTGGAGAAGTTTACCCGAAAAATTTTTGCCCTGGTCGGTCAGCAGCCGCTCCGGAGCACCTTTGTCCAGGACGTATCCCTGGACAAATGCCTCCGCGATGGCTGCTGCCGACTGGTTGGCAAGGGGCCAGGCCATAGGCCAGCGCATAAAATATTCCACCCCGGTCAACAGGTATCTGTTGCCCCTGGGCGTAGCGGGGAATGGGCCCAGAATATCAAACGCGACAAGCTCGTTGACCCTGGAAACTCTGATGGATTGCAAAGGCGGGTTAGACTCCCGTGCTGGTGGTTTACGTTGCGCACACCGAGGACATGACCCCAACAGATCCCCGACATCCCTTGTCATGCCCGGCCAAAAAAAATCTAGCTGCAGCATGGCGAGGGTCTTTTGAGTCCCCAGGTGGAGGAGACGCTCATGCGCGGCCCACACCACCTTACCCCGCAAAACAGAAGGGACCACCAGCCGGTGTCGATGGGATCTCCCGTCCCAATGCATTAACAGACCCTGGACCATCTCCCATGAGTCGACATCAACCCTCCCCCGCCCAGCACTTCCGACGCGACGACGCAACGCGAGGAGGGAGGTGTCTTCCATCTGGAGGCGCCCCCATTCAGCAACAGGCAACCCCAGTAAGGAATCTGTTCCCTGTTGTGTAATCGAACCCGTCATCGACGTTGCGTCAGCGGCAGCCGCCAGGACCGGAACGGACATCGGAGGCCTGCAACGCCCCGACCCAAGGAGGCATGCGCATTCGGAGGTGGTTGGCAGCCGTGACAGAGCGTCCGCATTTGTGTGGCGAACGCCCTTACGATACGTAGTTTCGAAATCGAAGTCCTGGAGAATCTCCAACCATCGAGACAATTGTCCCGATGGTTGTTGAACTCGCAGGGCGTACTGTAGTGCCGCATGATCTGTGCGGACGGTGAAATGCCGACCGTACAGATATGGGCGATACTGTTGGATAAAGTTAACAATTGCCAACAGTTCCCGACGGGTGACAATATCTTTGCTCCGCCGGAGACAACACCCGACTACCGTACGCTACTACCCGTTCCACGCCGTTTACCACCTGCGAAAGCACGCCCCCAATTCCCGTGTTGCTCGCGTCCGTGTCGAGCAAAAAGGGTTTGGAAAAATCAGGGTAAACCAAAGGAGGAGCCTTTACCAGAGCGTCCCGGAGGGATCGAAAAGCAGCCTCCTCCTCGTGTCCCCAGTGAAACCAGACCCCCTTCGATGTCAAAGCATGTAATGGCTTTGCAATCGTTGCAAAATCCGCGACAAACCGTCGGTAGTACGACACGAATCCAACGAAACTCCTGACCTCTCCCACAGAGGTGGGAGTCGGCCAGGAGCTGACACACTGCGTTTTGGCGGGATCGGTAGCAATACCTGAGCGTCCGACGATATGTCCCAAATAACACACAGATTCGCGTAACAAATGACATTTCTGGGGTTTAAATTTCAAATTAGCAGCCCCCATTTTTGAGGAAAACCGCCCGCAACCTCTGGAGATGTTCGTCGAATGTTTTGCTAAAGACGATAACGTCATCCAAATAAATCAAGCACGAGTCCCATTGTAACCCAGCCAAGACCAATTCCATCAATCGCTGGAAAGTTGCCGGCGCTGAGTGGAGTCCCATTGGCAACCGGTTGAATTGGAACAGGCCGTGCGGTGTACGGAATGCAGTTTTGGGTTTCGAATCATCGTCCAGAGGAAGCTGCCAGAATCCCGAAAGTAAATCCAATGTGGAGAAGAATCGCGCCCCCGCCAAGGCGTCAAACGATTCGTCCATCCGTGGGAGCGGGTATGCGTCGGCAACAGAAATTTAGTTCAGGCGACGAAAATCGACGCAAAACCGCAACGAGCCGTCATGTTTTTTAACTAAGACAATCGGCGCTCCCCAAGGGCTGATAGAAGGAGAAATGATGTCGGCGGCTAACATGTCATCAACGGCCGATTTGACATGGTCCTTTTCGGCGGGACTTAACCGAAAAGGATTCTGGCGTATTGGCGTGCTGTCACCCGTGTCAATATGGTGTCGCAGCAGATGAGTACAGCCCAGATCGTATTTGTTTTAACTGACGACGTCGGAAAATTCACGCAGCAGTGTTCTAAGCTTTTGACGCTGTAAGTCGGACAGGTCCGTCGATCCCGCACAAAGCGCCTCGAGCCACCCTTCATCACTGTCCGTATGTGGTCGCGGCAGAGGAGCAGTGCTCACGTGATTAACGACGGGCTCCTCACAGGGCACGGGCGTTGCATGTGCAAGCACGGTCCCCTGTGGAACCACCTCCGTCCGCGATCCCACATTGAGGACCGCGATGAAAGGGTCCCCGTCCCGTTTAACGATGGTCTGGGCCGGAATTAGGTGAGGTCCGCTAACCCCGACCCTAGACGGTCCCAGCAGAACCCCCTGGTCCCCAATCCCCTTAGCGAAAGGCCGACGTAGTTTAAGAGGCACAAGCATCTGGGCCCCCGGCGGTACGCGTACCGTTCTATCGACGAGCGCCGGTACCGTCGCGAACGCCGTCCGACCCGCAGAGGGAGACGGCAGAAATGACATACGTCGGCCCGACGGGAGCTCAATACAGCCCTGGTCGACTAAGATACGGATTGGCATTTTGGCCAGGAATTCCGTCTCCAGCAGGCACGGAACCGCCAGCGAGGAGGAGACAAAAATTGGGCCAGAAAATTTAATATCCCCGATACAAATTTGCGCTCGAATTTGTCCAATGATGCCAAGTGAGCCCCCAATAGCAGCATAGAACGGAACATCAACGGGCAGCAAAGGACGGCTATGAACAGGAAGAATGTTATAAATTAATTCCGAAATAAGTGTCGCCGATGCTCCCGTATCGACCAGGATGCGCACCTCAACCCCATCAATGTGCCCCACAACGACTGACGACCCCGACGACGCGGCCACAACGCGATGGGCCAACACGGACCACTGGCTGGGTTGGATATTAGTCCCCACAGTGGTACGTGTTGGCGCGACGGTGTGCAATTTCAGACCCCCGTTCGTTGCGGTGCGTGAGTGTGTGATGGGTGTGTGCGTAGGCCAACCATGTGGGGTGCCGCGACTCGCCGGGTTATGTTGGAGCTTGGGAAGAGGCGCGGCGTCCTGTTGAGGCGTCGCCCCGCGCTGCCGAGGAGACCGGCATCCCGAGGCCACATGACCCCGGAGGCCGCAATTGTAGCAGCGCGGAAGCGCTCCCGATGACTTTGGCTGGTCCAGGCGGCTCGGTCCGTCCCGAGCCGGCCGTCCTCCCGCTCTCCACTCCAGCGGACGGTCGACGGCACAAATTTCCTCCGCCGGGAGGGTGGCTGCAGCCATGGCACGGCCGGTCGTCGCCTTGCTGGCCTTTCGTCGCTGAGAGAGTAAGTTGGCGTGGATGTGTCGTGCTGCCCGGAGGGAACACATCTCAGCGTCGTCCTGCGCCACGACGATAATGTCCAAATCGTCAGCCAGCAAGAGGATCTTCTCCGTCACCATGGCGTCCACTCTTTCTTCATCCATTCGCGGGAAAGCCGTTCTTGCCAGTGCCAGGAGAGCTGTGCGATACGCCAGGGGTGACTCCGTGGCACCCCGCTGATGATCGTAGAATAGCTGTCTGCAGTCAGAAGGTGGTCCGTAGACTGCAGCCAGAAGCTGAAGCGCCATCTGCAGCGTGGCGCGCTTGGCTTTCGGCGCCGAGGTGAGAGTGGCGAGGGCATCGCTGTCAAGCATCGCCGGCAGCGCGCGGAGAGCCTCGGTGTCCGTCCACTGCGCCATCTCCTGGTGGGCGAAGAAGCGCCTCTGGAAGCCGCCCCAGTCACCGTCTTCGCCCACGAACTCCTTGAGGGGAGGTAAACGCTGGTGCAACGCAGCGGCCGCAGTCGAAGGTCGCCCCCCGTCGCTCCCGTCACTCGGCTCGGCTTCGGCGTGAACGACGAGTGGCATCGCCGGTCGCACCACTGGTGACGCGCTGGCCGCTCCTGATGTACGCCCGACGTCGGACGCGAGGCTCAGCCCGGCCACGCCCTCAGCAGTCACTGCGGCGATGGTGGGAAATTCAAAATCCGTCTCCGTAGAAATGGCGGGAACCGGTGCTGCCCGTCGGCTGTCGTCGCTCCGTGGTGGTCCACCAGCCCCCAGCCGCATAATTTCGTCAAGTGTGGCGGCAGCAGCGTAAAGTAGCTCCGCTAGTCGCGCGTGAGCCTGCCGCAGTCCATCAACTGACGGCTCCCATCCATCCAGACGCTGCGGTGTGGATGGACCCGGCCCCGGCTGCTCGGCGTCGCCTTCAGCCATCTCGGGCTCAACTTCGGCAGCGGTGTCCTCCGCCCCCGGTTCCCTGGCACGAGTCGTCCGTCGCGTGTCCATGTTCGTAGCAGATCACTTCTGACACCAGATGTAATACTGTTCCAGGAGACTTGGACGCCGGGGTTGGAGGCACACGTATTTATTCCGTGTCGGATACAGCACAACACTGGACGTACAACACTGGAGGGGGTATCGACCCCCTCACCCGTCTATCTGGGAATACACACTCTAGCTACGCCTAGCCTACCTCTTGGTCCTCCACTAACGGGCTAGGGGAGGCTAACTAGCCCGACCCTGGCAAGTCGGGCTTATGGCACCCGGAGTCCCAGACCAGCTCTTACAAGAGCACCGGCTCTGGATCTAGGGGCCACGCCACTGGCTCGATCCTGTCCGGCCCTGACAAGGGCGGTGATCCAGGGGAGTCCAAGGCTCTATCTAGACGATCTTCTGTCTTCACTGGTTAGCTTCAACATCTCTCCTCGAGCCCTCCGGCTCATCCCCTTATATACCGAAACCCCCGCTGAGGGGTGGGGCCCCGGGGGATCCCAGCTCCGAGTCAGCCCCCCAGGCTGCCCGGTGCGGACGTCGCTGGGAGCACCTCCCCGTGCACCGACATAGCCACGCCCACTGTGTTTCTTTCCCGTGTGATCCCATGTATAACAGCCCCTCCGTAACACCCCTACAAAGGCCCTGCAGAAAGGTCTATTCCCAAAATGTTAGCGTGGTGAATGTTTCCATAATATGGCAGTGGTAATGATGTGACAAGTTATTTTAATTTGTTCTTGTTCCCCACTGCCAGTCAGAAAAATGACTAGCTTTTCTACCCGTTTCGCCCGAGACTTGGATTCTTGTCTTGGATTAATACACGGCCTACGCGGAGGGTGGGTGGGGGATGCGTGACGTCAGCACAAATGTGACGTCACCGCTCACTTGCCGTGCAATATATTATATCCATTATTGCGCCCCCCCAAATACAAAAGTCTATTGTTAGACTTTTAGCATTGTGTACAGCCTGGATGCGACCCACATGCCAAATTTCAAGTTTGTAGCATGTTGGGAAGTATACTAAACGATTTAGGCAACTCGGGAAGGGAATGACGCGAGAGCTGAAAATTGTCATGTTCCCTTAGAAATTCCAGACAGCATAAGCTGTGCAAATTTCATGACGTCAGACCTCAGAGTTTTTGCTGCTTCACACAAACAGATGTATTATCTGCTTTATATTTAAGAGCGAGCTGAAAATAGTCGCGTTGACTTAAAAAATCGAGACAGCTATGTCGCGCATTTGTGCGGGATACACGGTCTACGTGGAGGGTTGGGGGGGGATGCGTGACGTCAGCAGGCAAACTGCGTAACACTGCCGCATGCGGGTGTCATCACAGATGTGACGTCACCGCTCACTTGCCATGCAAAATATATCCATTATCGCGCCCTCCCACCCCCCAAAATACAAAAGTTTAATGTTAGACTTTTAGCATTGTGTACAGTCTGGAAGCTACCCACATGCCAAATTTCAAGTTTGTTGCATGTTGGGAAGTATGCTAAACATTTCAAACAGACACACATTCACAAATTTCCCTTTTATATATATTAAGGTTATAAAATCAATGTCCAGGTCAACACAGCCAATACCACTGATATAACCTTTTACCATTATTCCTTTAAGTTCTGCAGCTTTTGCAAGATCTGATTTTTCTGTCCCACCATTTGGCGTTAGGTTTTCTCCTTGGACGTTGGGCCCTCTGTACTTCCACTCAGTACTTGATAGCAATATTTGCTAGAAACATTGCAAGGAGTTAAATTTTCTCGTTTTAAAAATGTGTGCGGTCTTCGTGGTGAAGCGTGTCGCCGATACCGCGTAGGAGAGGCTTTCCAGCATGGGCTGTGGGGCATCCCCGAAGGCCTGGCGTGTCAGGGCCATCGTCCGCTGCTTCTCTCTCAGGTTCTCGTCGCAAGAGCGAGGGTCCAGCGGCACCACTGCCTCACACCATCAGCACAACCAAGTCAGGTATAGCCAGGGCTACATTTCTAGGCACATGACAAAAGTTATACCAAACGTGGTTTTGCTGGGCACATATATTTCAGGGTCGCCAACTCAGGCAGGCAAGAATTTACATCAGGGGTGGGGAAACGTTTCCTTACCAAGGGCCGAAAAGGACTTTAAAATACAGTGGTACCCCAGAGATCAAACTTAATTCGTTCCAGAAAGCCATTCGAACACCGATTTATTCGAACACTGAATTAATTTCCCCATAAGAATTCATGTAAATGACATGAATTGGTTCCAGACACAAGCAATCTCTCATTATAAAGCATTTTTACACGAAGTTTACAGTAATTACATACATAAAATCACACAAAAAAACAAGAAACACAATAAATGGAATAAATATATGGAATAAATGAAATAAATGAACATTGAACTTCACTTTACCTGTAGAAACGAGAGTTGATGGCTTGAGTGGAAGGTGGTAAGGAGGAGGTGGTGGTGTTATTGTTTGGAAGGGGAGTCTCCTTCCATAATAACGTAGGTTAACTGCCCTTCTGGGGTTATTTCTCTTTTGTGCCTCTTTTCTGCCACTGTGAGTCACTTGAGCTCTTTCTGACTAAAAACTTATCTAAAGAGCCTCTCATACGGTAAAACCTTTGTTTGGACAAGCGTCATGCACGCTGGCCATACGGGTCTCAGCCGTACAGGTTCTTTCAAGTCGCGATTGCCCGTTCGACCTCCGAATTTCGTTCGGTTTCCGGGGCAAGAAATGTTCGGAAATATAATTCGACCACCGATTTCTTCGAGTTCTGGTGCGTTCGATCTCCGAGATTCTACTATACCTTTGGCCAGCAATCGTACATTAGTTGACAGCAGAGGTGGGACAAAGTCATTGTTATGCAAGTCCAAGTCGAGTCTGAAGTCATCAAATTCATGACTCGAGTCTGACTCGAGTCCAAGTCACATGACTCAGGTCCACACCTCAGAGGTGGGACAAAGTCATTGTTATGCAAGTCCAAGTCGAGTCTGAAGTCATCAAATTCATGACTCGAGTCTGACTCGAGTCCAAGTCACATGACTCGAGTCCACACCTCTGGTTGACAGTAAACTTTGATCACACAAATGTAGGTATTGACTGCTCAGATCTACTCCCCTCTAATAATAATACCCGATTAAAGTGGCTAAGATGCTCAGTGATAGTTAGTGGACCAGTCTTGATTTGAAGCTTTCGTGACTGCAGTAATCCATACTCTTGTAGTGACATAAGAAGGGAGGGGCTGCTGGGGGCTCTGGGATCCCAGGCGAGTCCAGACGCTTAAGCCTCTGGGCGCCAGGCGCTGGGTTCCCAGGGGGTCCAGATGCTTAAGCCTCTGGGCGCCAGGCTTTGGGTTCCCAGGCGCTTATGCCTTTTTGGCGCCGCCAACGGGGGGGGGCTGTGTGTGCTCTGTGGGATGTCTGGTGGCGAACACGGCCCGACCCCTCGTTGGACCAGGCATAAAAGGAGAGCTCCCTGGACGATCAGGGCCCAGTTGTAACTCAAGACCCAAGACCCACGACCAGCCATCTGAAGATCCTGGGATGCTGTGAGAGCCAGTGGTGAGACTCTGGAACTCCCGACTCTACGACCTTGTGAGGGCGAGTTCCAGAGCGTAGCCAGAGTAGAGTATCTAGGCTGTGTAGCTAGGCTGTGTACCTAGGTTGTAACAGAGTATCAGGACTGTTGGAGTACTGTTGGAGTGTTGTATTGTAATAAAGACGTTACCTCTACAAGTGTCTCCGGAACCCGTTACACTCTGATTCTTTCGTTAAAGTCATGTAGATAGAAAATAATAATAAAAGCAACACGACGTTTCCGTTGCAACACAAGCATCAGTCATCACCTGTTGCAACACAAGCATCCGTCATCACCTGATCAACGTGACTTTACCGAAAGAACCAGAGAGTATAGTTAGTGGACCGTTTTGAAATGGTAGGCTTCATGTGGCCACGGGCCACATGAAATGAGATCGTGGGCCATATTCACCCTCTGGGCCATAGATTCCCCACCCCAGCATTAGAAAAACTAACCACACCATTGCATAATGTGGACAACTGCATTTGCAAACACATGTTCTTAATTTGTATTGAAAAAATCCTGTTTGTAGAGTTTCACCTTTTTCTTGGACACTTGTCTCTTGTGCCAGCTTGTTGGGCCTGTAACCCTAAAAAATAAAATGGTGCTTTTTAAAAAATTGCAGTTCATTGAAAATATGGGCATTTTTTTAATTTGACAGTGCCTCAAGTTCAGGCAGCCAAAAGCATTTAAACTCGGTCATTTTAATCAATACCTCGTTAGTCCTCCTGAGAATGATCTGTGCAAGAGATTCAAGGTTGCGGCCTTTCAGCGGCACCACTTGAACTTCACTATAGTTCAACGTGGCCTGAAGTGCCTGGGACAAAAAAACATTGGTGAAATTTATAGTATGAAATTTATAGGTTAGGATTTCAAGTAATAATGGCTCACATTTAAAATAATGCTATGACATTGGTAGAGTGCACACATGACTTCAACTCGATCACAAGTAGACTTCTGATCTCCATTTGTTTTTACCTGGTTATAAGCATCATGTGTCTATACAGTCTGACATTTTAGCTGGATTTTGGTGGATTATCGATACAATTTCAAAATATAAACAGAAGTAACACTATCCCCTTTAACGTTCACATCCTTTATAATTTACAGTATCATTTCCTACATTAAACACATTGCAGTTTTCATTAACAATTTAAAAGTGGTCAACAAGCTTATGAACCTGCAATTATTTTGTTTTATAATCCTTTCCAAAAATAATATTGAGGCATCAACTCATGATTGAGGTGTTTCAATTACATGTCAGCATCTATTAAAAGTCTGCAAATTTAGTGGTGACATTTTTAGTCAGATTTATGCAATAATGTCCAGTTAGTCCTTAAGTCTGAGAGCTTTCCCAATTTCCATACTGAAAAAGGAAGGTGACTTCATCAAATGTAAAAACTAAATTAATCATTGGGTAATCGAATAATGGAAAATTTAGAAGCCAAACAATAACATGAGCAAGCTGGTTTTAGAAATATACTGTGTATTGTCACTAACTGCAACGTTACACCAGGCTTGTATTTTTTTATTGGTATTCTGGAACTCAATATGGACCCTCAACATCTACTGTGTTGTACAATGCGCAAAAGTGTTGAGTCCCAAAACCCAATTACCTGGATGATGTAATCATTATAGGAGGCCTTCAGGTCGGCAATGAACATGTGGTGGCACTGCGGGTAAAACACGATGTTGGCCATCTGGCCCATGGAGACAGTACTCCGTGCACCCTCCATCAGTATCACTTGTATCCACACGGCATCCTCCCGAACGATCACTGCCACCACCTGGTAATCCGCATGCATGCAACACCGCGTGTTACAGCTCTCAATGTCAAAAAGCAGTGATTTCCTGCTCAAATTTGCATTATCTATCCAGAGGAAAACTCTGCTGTTGACTTTGCCACAACATGGTACTTATTTAATCCACCCCAGAGGGATAATGGGCAAAGAAAACTCCCAACCAGGATTTGAACTTGCAATAGTGAGCAGCTCGCTCTTCTTCTAAGCCACTTAACCAATAAATCAATACAGACACATTGTTATTGACAACATTCCGAACGAGGTCTTAATTTTTAATTTCATATTTTCTGGGTAGCTGGTAGACTGGAGTAAGTGGCACATGGACTATTAGAAACTAAAAGCAAGAGGTATACTGGATGTTGGTGTGCTGGTTGCTGAAATATTTTCAGAGTTTCTGACCCAGACAGACCAAGGTAAAATTAAGCCAAGCCAAATTTTTTTTTTTACCGGATAGCACAGGAAGGGCTTACGTTTTCAAAATATGCGGAGATGTTTTCTTGCAGCTCGTACTCTAAATCTCCAGCATCAAAACACTTGTCTGCTTCTGTGAGAGAAAAGCACCACCTACAGGTGACCAATTTATATACACATTATCAATTACTATGGGATGTGTAATTTGGATACTTATTTCTAATTAATATTTAAATGACATACGGGCAGTCCCCGACTTACAAATATCTGATGTACGAACATCAGCACTTATGAACACCGATAAGATATTATTTTTAAATCCTTAATATTAAGTTCACTTGCTTGCTTGCTTGCGCGCTTACGACCGTGCAAATCTTTCGGTCGTTTTTTAACCCACTTCCCGTGATCCAATCGAGCTGACATTTTGCACACAGACTCATTGTGCGTGACAAGTTATTTTCGTGAAATTTTTTTTACAAAATGTTACACTTTTTAGGAAAAAATAAATTATATTTAATTACCAATTGCTTAATGGTGGCAGGCAATCATCTGACCCATAGGTGGCATCCATCTCAAGCCAGAGGACGAGAGGACTCTAACCGCCACGCATATAAAGGATTTATAGTGAAAAACTTTGTTTTTACGGGTTAATTTTTTAACCATCCAATTTGCGAACGTTTGCTCGTACTTGCAAAACCGAACCACGGAACTATTTTATCCGGCGAAGCGATACTCCACGAGATGTAATGAGTCCCAGCATCAAGCATAATGCACGGCAGTGAACTGGTCGCAACTTGTTTCGTGCATAACATCGTATGCTGTTTGTACTATTGCTTAAGTTTTGATATCATTGTAACCCTCATCATGTCTGAGAAACGAAAGACTGATTGATGCAAGTGATGTTGCTGCAGCGAGGAACTGCCGCACCATTGATTTGGAGGTGAAACTGGACACAATAAAGCGGTCTGAGAAATGTGAAACTCCTACGAACATCGGATGTGCATTAGGCCTGAACCAGTCGACGGGAGGAACAATAGAAGGCAAAGCTCGAATTATTGAACACGTCAAGGGCTCAGTGTCTATGAAGTCGACTATAATTCCAAAGCAAAGGGAGTGGTGTAATCAGTGAAATGGAAAAAAATGTATGCATCTCTCCTGTTACACAAGCAAGCCAGCATCAGGATTCATGTTACTTTACCTTTTATTTACTGTACAGTATTTATTACAGTATTACATGCAAATGTACAATATTTATTCTTATTTGAGTTTAACTTTTTGTTGAACCATAGCAGATTTTATAACACTGACCATATGTAAAATTAAAAACATTAGATTAGTGAGTTCCAAGATACAAACCATTCGACTTAAGAACAGGTCTTAGGAACGAAACCCCTTCGTAAGTCGGAAACTACCCATATTTATATAACATCTAGTTTAAGATTATGCCTATCTCTATTCTTTTTTTACTATTTACACTGGAGTTTTGTTCTCACCTCGTCCAACTGGACAGCAGTGCAAGTGTGATATTTACCCTGGGGGTTTAGAAGCTGGAAGACTGTCCACTGTTTCTTATTGGGGGTTTTCTGCAGAGCTGCCAAAGCAACAAAACGTGACAGATAGAAGTGTTGATCATTGAAAAACATCGCAAGTCTAAACTGAAAACAAAATAAAATAAAACTAAATTAAATCACGACGTTTCGGAAGCAACACAAGCATCCGTCATCAGGGGTGACTGCTCCAGCAAAATTACTGTAGCGTATGAAGAGAGCTATTTAGAGACACGTGTTTATATAGGGTACTAGGGGGGGAAGGAGCCAAGGGGTGGGGGGGGGGCATGTGGCAAGTCGTGTGGCGTCGCAGGAGGTTGGGCAGGGGATTAGCATAAGTTAAGCCGATAGATAACCATCTTTTTTCTTTGTGATGCCAGGGAAGGGTGAGTGTGAGTATGGTGCCTGTATGACGAATGTGGCGGTGGGGGAATGGGGGAGGCAGGGGAGAGTGGGATGGGGGGGAACAATTTTTGCGCTATTGCAACACTGTTGTACATCAAAATTTCTTAGTGATGGTGGTGTATCAGGCTGGGAGTAAAATACTGGAAATATGGATATGGCTGTAAAATTATAGGGCAGAGTTAAGCCGATAGATAACCATCTTTTTTTCTGACAGATGCCTGTGAGCAGTAGCCATGTGTTGATTTCACCCCATCTCCCCACAATTCATTTTGATGTGGTTGTGATTCAAGTAAAAAATTGAGCATTATGCCTTATCTGTTCCATGCCACATGTTGTATCTGTATTGATTTTTCTCTCATGGTCTTGTTTATTGTCTGTTTGTTACTTTTGAAAAAAATCACGTGTAGTTTATCTCGATTGTTTGTTCTCATCTATAACATTAGTTCTGTCTCTATACTATCTCATTCGATCAAACCTTTAGCATATAAGAATATAATCGGTTCTTACGCACACCATTTGATGCCTGTATGGCGAGTGTAAGAATCTACTTTAAGCCAAACATTTTGACATGTCCAGTGTTGTGAGCAGTTGACACGAGCCTTACAGAGAAGGCTGAGCTCAGCCACCTTCTTCAGCTCCACATTTTTCTCCTGCAAGATGGAAACAAACAACATCAGATAATCAGATAATTCCATTCAGGTGTTATCTCAGCCCATCACATTTCTGAGATGCATAAAATTAGTGGGACATAATTTGGGGGATCTTTAGTTGCAGTCCTATGGATATATTTCCCACCACTATAAGAATGTGGAATTTTCACCACTGGCTTGGGGCTATTAGCAAAGATGAGCATCACCCCAATATAATTTGGGAGTGGGAAAAACTAACAACTTTATTTTGAACAAGGTTTCAGCTGTTAAGGACACAGACCAGGACGTTGGCCTGGGAAGAGGTGATTCTAAGTGTGTGAACCAGGACATGAAGGACGGTGAAGTGGATGTGTGGAGGTAACGGCCAACGACAGGAACGAGTGGAGGAGGACCGAAAACAAGACCCCACATGGAAGATGTTTGGGCTGTTAATATGTTAGGGGCTTAGACATTTGTGATGATGTGTCACGAGGGGGGGGGGGGGGGTTGAGAAATATGACGTCACATGAAAATGCGAAACTTTAAATAAACATAGACTACACGTTCTACTTAATTAAATAGACTTTTAAATGTTTTCTCTTACAACATCAGAGTGCAGCGCCACATTAAATACGCACTACAATGACAATAATTTGAAGCGTGTTTTATTTTCAAAATGGAAATATTATTGGGGGGGGGGGCAGAGCTTTGTGACGTCATATTTGAGGGGAGGTATGACTTTTTGTGACGCCGTGTGACGAGGGGGGGGGGTCAAAAACCGTCCAAAATCACGTGACGTAATTTATGGACGGCCCCTTATCTCTTGACTTGGTCCAAAGCCAGAACGTGCACATTGCGTGACGCCCTAGCCATGGCCTCAACAGACATTCCAGCTGTGCCCATAACCTTTCCGCTAACCCTACTCAGATCTAGCACACGTGTATCCCTCTCACCTTGCCTAACATAAATATTTTCTAACATAAATCTTGCTCAATCCAGACTCTACCCAGGACTGCCACTCACCCTAAACCAAACCTCTACTCTCACACCAACACTCACCCTTAAACACTAACCCTCTCTGCCTAACCCAGACATTGCACCTCATATGTGTGTATATGCAGCAGAGGTGTGGACTCGAGTCATGTGACTTGGACTCGAGTCAGACTCGAGTCATGAATTTGATGACTTCAGACTCGACTTGGACTTGCATAACAATGACTTTGTCCCACCTCTGAGGTGTGGACTCGAGTCATGTGACTTGGACTCGAGTCAGACTCGAGTCATGAATTTGATGACTTCAGACTCGACTTGGACTTGCATAACAATGACTTTGTCCCACCTCTGATATGCAGCACCTTTGTCAATCAACTACTAGATGACAATCCGGAGGGAGGATAAATATTTGAACATACGTTACATTTTGTCAATGCTTGTTGGTGCAGGCGGGGGGGGGGGGGGGTACAGATGCACCTTGCAGAAGCGCACGGCCGCCGAGATGAAGTTCCCCTTGCCGCCGCGCGTCACCCGGCCCAGCGCCTGCATCTGCGACCCGGAGAAGACGCCCCAGGCCTCCAGGACAGACAGGCACTCCGCCTGCCTCAAGCGGTACATAGCGTGGCGCAGAAGCACCCACGGCTCCATTGCCGGCGTGGAAGAGTTGGCCAGCACACCAAGTGCCGCGGCTGCTAAACTGCGGGACGCGAGCGCACAGACCCCTTTCGCCGGCCTTGGCGTGAGCGACCAACCGACTTGCAGACTTCACACCTTTATTTTACCTTTTTGATTACACACAACTGCCTTATCTTCAACCGTAATCGTTGTCGATCGCCGCTGTGTCAATAATGAGGAGTTATTCGTCGTGTGTCTCACGGCGGCGCTTATAAAGCGTTGCGAGTCACTCGCGCTGCTCGTCATAGAAGCAGCCAGAGCGTTGCCGCCATCTCGTTTGTATGTGGAGTGGGGAGGAAGAGGGGGTTCAGGGGGGGGGTCAATTTAAGCGTCTCAGCCAATCAGGGACAAGACTGCGCGCCTGAGCTCGCCTCGGATTGACGGAGACGGTCGAGGGGGCGTCGCCGGGGAGCGAAGCGCGCGGGACGTGACGTGGGCGGGGAGCGGTGGCGCAGCGGTGAGCGACTCCGCGAAGTCGGCGACTTCACAACCGCGATCTTCAATGCTGGCAAGGAATCCGATGAGCTGCAAAGTTATTTTACACAAATCTCCGGTTTAGTTGCAACGACAAACAATCCCCAAAGAAAAAAAAACCCGATAGGAGTGCAAAGTATATAAAAGGTAAGCAAGTCACTCAAATAAAGTACTGTATTTCAGTAAAAATTGCATAAAGACATGCGTTCGATTCCCACTCACGACTAACACCAGTGACGATTATCTGAACCGGTCCTGGACCTCCCCTAGGTCGACTCGGCCTCAAATAAGTATTTTGTGCGGTGTGTAAACATCGCCACTGGGGAGACGAAGACGGTAAGGCGTGGTGCTGGCCACCAACCCCCTCGTGTGCCGTGCTGGCCTTCAGATGTGCTCGCTAACAGCACTTGCCCCTGCAGTCTGTCAAAGGATCATACCGGGGCATCTCTGGCGCTGGGCTTGTGGAAGGGGCCTTGTGAAAGGCAGAGGAGCGATGCTCGCATCAATGAGCAGAGCGTCAGGCAGCTAAAACACAGGAAGTTGGCAGAGTATGGGGCACAGATGGTGCATCTCCATGTCATCTGACTCAGTCAACCCGTGTCACCTGGGTCTGTGTACCTGTGACCTCCTGTCAGCGAGCCTTCGACACTTTACGTCGCCGCCTCAAAGTGCGCCTCGCACGAGCGCCGTGGTGGCGCTGGGATTGTTGGCGGTGAGTGGTGGTTAAGTTTCAAGTTTAGAGACGAGGGTGTCGCGGGTGCAGTGGTGGGTGTATGAATGAACGAGTGACTGAAGGGGTGAGTCAAAGAGCGGGTAAGTTTACGCTGCAATGTTATTGTTGCTTAACCAGGTGAGAACTCGAGAGACCAGGAGAGTCTTAATTCGAAATAGTGACCAAGGTTACCAAACTGATGAGCGAAACATGTAAAGACAAAAAGAAATCGGGCCGAGTGGGAAAGTAGTTTCCTTGCCTACATGAAGGGCCTGTAAAGACCTGGGATGTATTTTGGCCCTGGTTTAAAACGATCCTGGGTTCTTCCTCGACTCGTGATACGAGTCAAGGGCGGGGCCGATTGACAAGCGGACGTTATTGTCTTGCTCCTTGAGTGGCAGACATTGTCTCCTTCATATGTACGTCCATATAAAATATATACGTGTATATAAAAGTACACTTCCCGTCAACAACACAACCTCCTGGGAGTGCATAACGTCGGCAGCCTTGCTTCATGAAATACGTGCGAAAGCTGGACCGGTTCGGATTTCCACTGTCATGAGCAGTCCAGATTTGTTTGGATTCACTGCTGTTTTAATGAGTCCTAGGCAAGGTAAGGTAAACGTTAAAAGGTACCTTTTACCTTACCACAATACAATCACTCTACCCCACCTTTTACCCTTTAGCAGGTAAGGTAAAAAGCAACGAGCCTACCTTTACCCTACCGTTTACCCTTAGCCCATACAAATTACCCGATTACAGGGTAATTACTAGGGAACTACTACACATGAACAAGGTTTATAACGGTAAATGCTGGGTAGAGCACTTTATTCATATACAATACTCTCGATTATTCCAATTTTACACGCTTGTTGTCGTTGTTGTCATTGTTGTCGTTGTCGTATCTTCATATCTTGTAACTCAATTTTAACCCACTTCCCAATGTAGTATCGACTGCAAACTTGGTATACTTATGTCATACTGATGACAATATATTCTATCATAAAAATATATATATTTTTAAACATTCTTTTTTATATATTATGTTTCGGCTTGGGTCTAATTGTCCACGCTCAACTGATGTTGGCTGTAATTGGCCACGGTCCCTTACGTTATGGCAAGCTTCGGGGCCACTTCCTGGAGTCGTGGAGTTCTGCCATTACTAGTACATTTGTAGGACTCGTACAAGGGTCGTCTTTCTCTCTTTATTTTCCTCTTAGAGTCCACCTTCGCCGCGCCACCGCTCCGCGTCTCGGCGCGGCCTCGCTCCGCTCTGCGTCTCTCTGTTGCGCCACCGCTCCGCGTCTCTCCGTGCCCTCACTCTGCTCCGCGTCGCTCCGCGCCTCTCGTTACGCTTGTCGTCTCTACGGTTTCCCCTACTCTGCATCCTTCCGATGCATGGCTACCCTGTCTGCTCATTGCGTTCTCGCTACCACTGTCTCTCCACGCTTTACTCTACTGACACTGTCTCTCTACGCTTTACTCTACTAACACTGTCTATCTACGCTTTACTCTACTATCACTTGCTCTGCGACTCCCTGGGCACCGTTGCTGCAGCTCCATCCACAACGCCAACTCGTACAGGACTCCCTTCTCTCCATTGCGCTCTGGCTCATATCCCCACACCAATTAATCTCCCTAATTATCTCTACCCCCCGCTTATCGCTCGACCCCTGGCCCCCCCCCCCCCCGTGTCACGTGGCCTTGTTTTCGCCGCCGGAGCGACGCCAGCTAATGCCCAATTACCTTTCCAGCCAATCACTGGCCTGTGTCCTCCCGGCTACCCCGACACCTGTTTCAACCCTTAACGACCCACTTCGCCTAAAGTCACAACAACAACCATTACCTCACATCACCCCACTGTACTGTGCTTGCTCGCATAGCAACAGAGGCGGAGGATGCGTGGCGCGCTATACTAAAGCCCTACATCACCCCCCCCCCCCGTGAAAAAAACTAGCCGTCCCGGCTAAAACAACGCGAAACCCACAGTACACGAAAAGTTCAACAGATGCACAATATATATACAACCCCGAGTCCCAGGAATTTAAGTAAAAGTTAATCGTCGTGAACGTGTTCCCGCGGCCGGTCCGTCTCCCCGACTCAATGGAACAGGGGCTAGGGCATCCCCGTCTGTGACCACAGGGCAGCGTTCTGCCCGAACCGTGCGTCCATTTCCATCCCCCTGTCCATCTCTCGACGAGAGCCACCCACGGCCTTGTGCGTCCCGGCGTGTCCGTCGCTTCAAAGATGGTGTTCCTGCAGGCACACAGGGGGTAAACCGCTGAGGTGCATCTTCCCATCGCCCCCCAGGACACTCGTCGGACACATCCAATACAGGTCGTTCCGGGATTGGAGATGACGCATCATATGGCACAACATATCTTTTCAACCGTGACGGGTGAATGTGCCACAACCGTCGACCGTAGCGTTTCCTTACACTTTGATCTCGACGAACTTCCACAATCTCAACGGGCCCCTGCCAGGGCCGGTGGAACTTTGGTGACGTGCCCACCGGCACCATCGGACAATGTAACCAAGCCTTGTGCCCCACTTGCCATGGTTCCCGTGGAGGCTGCCCCCCGTGCAGACGCTCATTAGCTGCCTGCCTTCGTTCCGTATTCCGCAGCGAGGCCTCCCTGGCCTCGTTCAACCAATCCAATGACTCGCGCATGGGGACAGCCACCACTGGCGACTTGCTCTTAGATTTCACACCCAGCCTGACCAAGGCCGGGGCTTCTGGTTCACGCCCATACATCAGATAAAAGGGCGAATATCCTGTAGAAGCGTGTGGGGCCAATCTATAAGCGGCCAAAGCCGCCGGGACATGTAAATCCCAATCCGTCTGAGCCGAATTAACCTGCTGGCACAACATAGATGTCAATGTTCGATGAAGACGCTCGACCATCCCGTCGGTTTGCGGGTGTATGAGGATGTCCGGATTTTTCTCGTACCCAATGCGTCACACACCTCCTTCAAAAGGCGGGACGAAAAATGTTTTCCCTGGTCTGTAAGCAGGTGCTCCGGGGCCCCTTTATCGAAAACGTAACCCTGCAGAAAGGCCTCCACAATTGATCCCGCTGATTGGTCCACTAACGGCCATGCCATAGGCCACCGAGTTAAGTGTTCAACCCCCACGAGCAAATATTTGTGACCCTGCGGGGTAACGGGGAACGGTCCCAAAATATCAAGGGCCACAATTTTGTTAACCCGCGAAACACGTATCGATTGCAATGGTACCTGATATGGCGGGGCTGGCGCCTTCCGCCGTGCGCACTCGTGACAAGCTTTAACATTCAAATGAACGTCATTCTTCAACCCCGGCCAATAGAAATCATTACTTAAAGTCAAAGCGGTTTTCTTCTCCCCCAAGTGCATCAACCGCGCGTGCGTGTCGGAAATGAGTTTCCCTCGTAAACACAGCGGCACCACTATACAAAATTTCTGTAAGACGACATCCCATCTGACCAGGAGGCCGTCAATGAGTCGGAGAAAAGGCCGATCATCCGACTGTTTGGAGCGAGAGGCCTGTAGCCTCATCCTGGTAAGCGACGGATCGTCTGTTTGAAACCGCACCCAACGCCCCCCTGACAAACCCAACAACCCAGGCTCAATATCCGGTGTCTCGTCAACCTGGTTTGAATTAGCTGCAGCGGCCATTCTCGGCTCGCTCTGCAGCAGCGGCCCACAACGCGGCGATCCCTCGGAGCACCGACACTAGCCCGATGCCTGAGGCAACCGGGACAGAGCATCTGCGTTAACTTGACGCATACCCTTCCTGTGCTGGACCGTAAATGAGTTTCCCTGCAGGACCTCAAGCCAGCGGGCCATTTGGCCCGAGGGTTGATCGATCCGCAAGGAGTACTGCAATGCCGCGTGGTCGGTGCGGACCAAAAACTGTCGCCCGTACAAGTATGGTCGATACAACTGCACAAAATGAACAATCACCAATAATTCCCTGCGTGTTACGCAATACCTTTGTTCCGCCGGGGACAGTACCCGGCTGCCATACACGACGACCCTTTCAACACCGTATATCGTTTGCGACAACACAGCTCTGATGCCCGTGTCACTGGCATCCGTGTCCAACGTAAACATTTCCGCAAAATTTGGATACCCGAGCGGCGGTGCGTCCGCCAACGCGTCCCGGAGCATTTCAAATGAACGCTGCTCCTCATCACCCCATAGAAACTTTTTACCCTTAGCAGTCAGCATGTGCAGTGGCCTCGCAATCGTAGCAAAATTCTTAACAAATCGCCGATAATATGACGCAAAGCCCACGAAGCTGCGTACTTCTGACACCGTTTTAGGCACTGGCCACGCACGAACACAACTAGTTTTCTCCAGATCCGTTGCAACCCCCGCTTCGCTGACCACATGACCAAGATATTTAACGGAAGTTCGCAACAGATGATACTTTTGGGGTTTAAACTTCAAA